TTCTCAACCAATCAGATTTGAGAACCAGAACGAACTGTTGTATAAATATATATATATATAGTTATTGTAATATGATGAATGTATATGTGTATATATATATATATATATATATAATTTTTATATATTAAAAATATACTAAAATATATAAAACATGTTTTTTTATAACTTGTAATATATAGTTATTATAATTTATAATACAAAATAATTAAATATTTTGTTGTATAAATCATTTTTATTACTTTATTGTTTTTTTAATTACCTTTTCTAATAACTATAATTTATGAATATTACCTTTTATTTTATATGTACATAACAAATTATAGAGAAATTTGTATTTGTAATTTTGAATGTAAAAATAATTATTTCACATTAATAATGTAAACATATTACATTTCTATTTATTTTATTATTTTTACTTTTAAGCTTCTGCTTTGTTTGTGTCTCTAGGCAGAGAGGCTGAGGAAAGTGTCCCTCACGCGAGAGCTGTGCATTCTGGGTGTTGTGGAGGTGCTATACTTATGGAAAGCTCTTCCAAACTGCTCTTCCTCCAAACTGCAGCTTATGAACCAAGGTAAAGAACGGTGTGATGTAATGTGTGCTATCACTCAGCTCTGAGCGCCTCTTTTCTCACATGATAACCCTGATCTTGATGCTGTATTCAGTGCTACAGGGGCTGGATGAGCAGCCGAGCCTGGGCCTCAAACACCTGCTGCTTGGTTCTATTCAGAAATGTCTTGGGAATATTAAAGATGCTGTTCAGGTTTGTTCAATCTCATCAGGTGGTTGTAAGGTGATTTGCCTATAGAAGTCTTAAAGGTACAGTAACACTAATATATGTCGGTTTCTAAGTAGAGTTTACAAATAGATTTCGGAGCACAAATGCTACAAAATGCAGAATATGACACATTAAGGGTGCTTTCACACTTGGTTCGACTGCCTGGTCCGAACTCGAGTTCGCTTGCTCCCCCCTCCCGCTGCCCCCGCTGTGGCACAGATTTATGTGTATCTTGTTTATCCTCTCACGCACTGTGTTTAAAGGTCCCCTGAAATGCTTAGAAACACGCAGCATTACTCTGTGTACTCTTCAGCGTCTATTTTATAGTGTAGGGGGCTTCTAGAGAGCATTTGATTGGACAGAAAGTTTGATGAGAAGCTGAAGTATGCTGTGATGTCAAAAAAATCGTTTAGCCGTTTTAGCAGAAGTGACGAACTGCAAGCTTTAAATGCTAATATCTTCAAAATGCAAATTTTGTCACTGTTTTGGAGCACACTGCCTTATAGATAACCTTAAGACTAACATATTGATACTAACACCCAAAAAACTTTCATTTTGATTTCATGGGGACTTTAATACTGATTCTGTCTGATTGTGTTTCTAGTCGTTCCAGCTGGCAGCGCAGGATGAATACGGCCGTCTGAATAACAGCTATGTGCAGCCCTATTCCTGCTATGAGCTGGGCTGTGTGCTACTGGCTAAACCCGAGGTAAAGCACATTCAAAATCCCTTTATTCTCAGATTTAAGGCACTGTATTTTAAATATGTATTCATTCATCAGCTTCTAGTAGACTTTATTTTATTTTAATCCCAACTCTTTACGTTCAGTTCAAACAGTCTTTTAGAAACCTTTGCATTGATGTGTATTAGACAGTTTATTCTGAAAATACCATTGCAAGGATTAACACGTGGAATTACCAAACTTTACTCCATAACTTATGTTAAAAAATTACTTTGGAGCCAGTAGTAATAATAATAATAATAATAACTAGAATTTTAATAGAACAGTGACATTTTGTTAAATGAAATGGAGATTGATATGATACATTTGTGTTGATTATAAATATATATATTTTTAATTTCTTAGAATCTTTAATATTTTGTATTGTAATTTATAATATACAAATATTTAATTATTTGTATAATATTATTCATATAATGACAAATAATTAATAATATGAATGTTTGTAGTATTTTCTAATAATTTATTCATTTTACATTTAATTATAGTTTACTTTTAATTCTATTTATGAGTTTGTTTTAGTTTAAATACAAAATGTAAATATATATTAAATTATTCATATATAAAGTAAATATAAACTCATAAATATCATTTATAAATATATTATATCTGTGTATATATACTGTATATACAAACACAATACATATTTTTTAAAATTGTAGTTTACGTTTTAGCTTAAATATAAACAAACTCATAATAATTAGAATTTATAAATATTATAATATATCTGTGTATACATAGAATACACACAATTCACATTTTTGAAAATTGGTTATGAGTTTATATGAATGTGTGTGTGTGTGTGTGTGTGTGTGTGTGCGTGCGTGCGGACATTTATATATACATAACTGACTGCGTTTACCTGAATGATTGTCGAGATGGGTATTTTGTCTTAATTTTATGTGTATGTGTCCGTCCAGAGGAATCAGTTCGGTGTCCGCGCGCCGTCTGAAACGCGTGTGTGCGCTTCATGTGTGTGCGGCTGTGCGTGTAGAGAACAGCGCGCGAGTAACGAATCGAGTTTCGCCTTTTCTCTCTGGAATTGTAAAAAATTCGCTTGCTTGTGTAAATACGAACAAATGATAAACTTATACTCTATTATGGTTACATTTTGCAATTAATCCGCGGATCACATGCGTGCCGAACCGTGGGGCTTGGTCCGTACGGATCACGGATCAACTACGATCCGTTTAACCACTACTAATTACTTAATTTATGCTATAGTGAATTCATAAACCATATTATTTACTATACAGTATTTTTAATAATTTATTAATTTGTGATAATCTTTTAAATAAAAATTATTTCCAATTATAGTTATTAGGAGTTAAGCTTTTAGTGTATACATTTATACAAAAATTTTAATAAAATATAGTACAATTATATTAAAATAAACAGAGACTGATATTGTGCATTGTGTTTATTAAATGTGTTTATTGGATTTTTTTAAATGATTATTTCTTAACTACCTAACAAATTTTTTATACTTGAATGTTTTCAATGAATTTCAACTCTTTCCCTCCTAAGACCCTGAGTAAAGGAAGATCATTGCTGCTTCAGGCCAAGGTAAGACCGTAATACATCAGTGATTTAGTATCTTGGATGCATCAGTAAGTTCAGTTGAGATGGTGACTACCTCTGCTTGCAGGAGAACTACACGGGGTATGACTTCGAGAACAGGCTGCACGTCCGCATCCATTCCGCCCTCGCCTCCATAAAGGAAGTGGTCCCTCACTGACCTGTCTGTCCCACCTCAGAAGAGCTCCTGTCCAGCACTTTTTGAAGCGAAAGCCATGTGAAGTAATCCTGCTTTTCTGGAGGGAGAAACTGAGAGTCAGTGGATTTCAGGTGACCGAGGACGTGTTCGCCAGTATTTTTCCGCCTAGTATCGAAAAGGTTCACTCTTCATGTAGCTGTTGGTTATCGCTAATTTTCACGTTCACATTTACATCCAGTTTGTGTGTTCAGGATTGATCTACAGAAGCAACTCTCACGAAGAAACACAGGTGTAGACCAGCTGGTTAGATCCTTTCCCAGAGCTTGCGCTATCATACCAAACACATTAGCATGGGATAGAACTCTACATTAGATAACATGAATACATCAAAATGAAATATATATTGTGTAACCCTTTATCTCAAAGAAATAATAGTATCCAAACTTACCTGTATGTCAAATCAAGATTGTTTGCGTCTGGCGCAGTGGCTGATCGATATGAGACCAAAATGGCGATGCTATGATTTCAAAAATAGTTTAATGAGAATTATTTTCGAGTCTAATTTGCATCAGATGTGTTCAGTTAATGATATTAAAGCTGATTTATTTATGATTTGGTAACATTATTTTACAGCGTCCTTGTTACTTTCTATTGTAATTACAGTAAATTCTGCATAATTACACGCAACTAGCCCTAAAGCATCCTTGACTTTAAGTGTTAATTAATATTACGCATTACTTAATTACACTGTAACAAGGACACTTTAAAATAAAGTGTGGCTATATAATTTTTTTAATTATTATTATTATTATATGTATTTTTCTTTATTATTCACATATATCATTTTCAGTAAAAATATTAAATTGGTGTTTTAAATGATAAAATTATAAATTATGTACAAAAATTCATAACTTAACTTGAATTTGGAGGCGGTTGTATGAATAATATATATTTTAAGTAAACAAATGTTAATATTTTTAAAGAAAATTCCATATAATAAATATTTAATCATATTTATTAATTATATTATTTTAGATATAATTTTCAGTAAAATTATTACATTTTGCGTATAGATAGATAGATAGCTTCATAAATTATGTACAACAATTCAAAACGTCACCTGAATTTGGAGCCAGTGGTATTAATAGTATATTCTTTGAAATAATACAAATAAATGTTAATATTTTTAATGATTTAATGATTTTTAATAATCATTAAGTATTATTTATTAATGACATTTATTTTGTATGTAATTTTAAGTAAAAAAAAAAACTAAATTTTATGTGTATATATGGATTTTATCTATATATACACAAAACTTAACCTGAGTTTGTTTATATATATATACACACACCACATTATATATAAACATATATATGTAATAAACATAATATATATAAACAAACTCAGGTTAAAAGTTTGGAATTTTTGTATTTTTACTTTATATTTTTACTGAAAATATTATATAAAATCTAATATTTGAATTTGTTTTGTTTTTTTATTTATAACTGCAAAGTACCACATTTTTTATTTAAGCAAGCCAAATTGATAAAAATATTGGATGTTGAATCAGTCTAATATATCGGTCTGTCACTAGTCTAGTTGAGGACACTTTTGCAGGTTAAAACGCATTGCATTCAAGGTTGGCTGTTTTTATTGTATGTATTGCAAAGTTCCATTTTAACACTAAACCATGTGTTCCCTTTGTAATACGTCAGGGGATATAGAACTTATTTCATCTGGTATTCTGGGTATTACGTTTGAGAACAGCTGCATAACTTTGGTCCTCATGTCCTCTGTTGGTCAGCAGATATTTTCTGAAGTGAAAACCATGTACAACTACCTACTGGTCATCCTCGGGGCCAGAGGAGGTCATTTCATTTTGGACCTTGTTTTTGACGAGCCATATGTTGTATTTGTTTTTTTTGTGCCAGATGTTCTGTAATAATATTTTTGGCCCAGGCTTATCATTTGTAGACTTTTTTGACAGCACATCAGTATCTCCCTTTGATAATGTCTTCTCTGAATAACTTGAATTGATTTAAGCTGGTGTATATATTGTGAAATTGTTGTGAAACTTGCACCTTCTTATTTTCTCGGCCCATAGCTGTAACGTTTATTCACTACTGTACATGATTCCCTCTGGTCTCTCTGTCAGTAACTCCAGAGGCTAAAAAAAACATGTCTTCACTGTGAAACGTGTCAATATTGGATGTTCAGGGTATTTATACCTTGTGAGGATAACAGAATTAGGAAATTTCAATTAATAAAATAACGTAAACTTGCCATTAAACTTTGTACGCGAGTTCAGTGTGTTCACTGGATTATGATGATTTGCAGAACTCGGATGGTAAGTTTGATTTTCTGAAGTAAAAGTGCGAGAAAAGAGGAGAAATCTGTCAGAATTTGTCCCTCTAAACAAATTTAACAAGGTGGATAGGTGGGAATGCGTGATTTTTGCAGTATATTTTGAATATATTTTTGATTACTTTCTCTTTTTGCATAAAGGCCTAAGAAAGCATATCATTTAGTTGAAATAGGTTTTTAAAACATTTGATACCAGGGACCCCCATTTATGATGATCCCCTTGCAAAATAATTAATCTTAAATTAAAGGAAGCTATAAATTTAAGAAATATTTATACTTGAAAAATGGTACATGTGATATTATAAGGACAACCTCAATGAAATAATTGCTATTTTATGTTGTCATTATACTAAAAACAAGAATTAAATATGTGGAAAATATAAAGTTAATTTTTTATAATTAATTTTTTCCCCTGAAAATTTCCAACCCCTTTGATTTAGAGAAGACAAAAAATAATTAATCTTTTCATATTGGAATAGAAAATAAAGGTGATAAAATAGAATAAAAAACGATAATAATCATAATTTCATGGAAGAACCAGGGGCATCACTAGACCTTATTTAGTTGTGCACCTCAGTAAAAATATTGATAAATCCTTAAGTTTCAAGTAACTAGGATTACCATATATCGAGCTGAGAATCATTTACTCTGATAATATTTCATCAGTCAAGTCATTGCGTGTTTTCTCTCAGCTGTTTAGAAGATTTTTGCAATGCCAGATTTGTGAATGAATCACACATTTGATCTAATAATGGACCAACGTGTTTGCAAAATGTTTGATTCATTAGGAAAGTTCACTCACGCATTAAATCGTTTCTCACAATGAAATAGTAAAGGATATTTTTGTAAAAACAGAAAACAAAAAAAAGCGCTGGATGAAGTGAATATTTACCTACAGTCCACTGGAGGAAACAAAACTTGCAAATGTTTGCTAACGACAAAGCGGCACTTTATTGCATGTTCAGTTTTTTTTTTTTTAATGACTCATTGAGCTATTTATTTACATTTATATCTAAAACCTTTATATTCAGAAGGACAAACTTTTAATACGACAATCATGTTTTCATTATGCACTGCTGGTTTACATACGTCTTGTTTTTGTCGTGCTGTGGTAATTCATTCATGTATGCGCACATCGACCTCTTAATAAACGCGGACTAGAACCTTCCCTGTTTGGGAAAAATGGGTGAAGGAAAAAGTCCTGAAACGCCATATTTACAGGCATAAATGAGGGCATCTTACACAATTTATAATGTTCACGTTTATATAAAAATAAATAAAAACAAGATTCAAAACAAAGTGTTTCTGTCTTGTTTTTGATATAGCATAAGTGTTCATACACCTCTTTTTTAGGTTTTTATTTTTTTTTAGATGTAATCTAAATACAATCTTTAATGCCTTTTATGCACAGAATTATTCTGCTCATTATCTGTAGGCATTTTTGTTAGATAAATCTACAAAATATACACACAAAAACATGTAACACACAAAATAAATCGATATGGGGTTAAATGTAGACTGCATCAAGTGATCAGTACAGCTTCATGTTCCTGACCAACTTTATACTTTTTTTTTTTTTAAATAGACGAATAACTGACTCATGATAAATACATAATTAAAATAAGATTGTTATATTATAATATAACAAAAGACATTAGTCAATATATTAGTGACACCACAGAGGCATCTCTCTAAAAAAAAACAACAACATCACAACAGAAAGAGCAGCAGAAATAGACACACTGTCCTAATACTGCATTGTATGTGGAGAATATGAACTCTGAATTTTAAAAAGTTAGATTCCAAATGTGTAACAGTCATTTTCACAACCAGTTGTTTTATACCACATTCCACACTCAACACAGTGGGAATGTTCCAACTTAAGAAATGCCAAGTTCATTTTTAAGCCAATAAACAGAAAACAAAACGGACTCAGACTTGAGCCTTGGGGGACACCCAAAATCTACCATTGTTAACAAATCTTTAAAAAAAAAATCATTTTTCATAAGACTAAAACAGAACCATTATTGCTAATACAGTACACTGATATTACTATATCAAGCCCAACTTGTGATTATAATCTTCATGATATTTCACAATCTGTAGTTCCCAAAACCCTTGATTGTTGCATATGCATGTAAATATGAAACAGTGTAAAACTAAATTCAGATCAGTGAGTTTAAAATAAAGTTCTCTCTTGAAACAGAATATTATTTATGATATTCGAAATGTTCACCTGGCCAACCAGCGCAGGGTGCATAGTTTTATAGTTACGTTACGTGTAGGCTTGACTATACAATTTATTGATGTAAGGTTCCTGTAGGTCAGTAGATGTCCGGTACTTGAGAATAATCACGGTCCCAGTAGCCATTGGAGAACAGCCAGTCCTGAGAGCCGTTGTGTGGATTTGGACCTTGATGAAACCACCTGTTTCAGGCAACAAAAAAAGGTTCAGTTCGGCAAACACGTAAAACATTAATTATAACGGGATCGTTTTAGTTTTGTCACGTTGAGTTGCTTGGGGTCAGTCAAACATGCGTAAAAAAAAGTTTCATTGACCCCCATTAGAATCGTCTTATTCTGTTGAATAGATTCGGTGGAGCATTTGGCTGTAACACTTAAACCAGGTGTACAGTTTCACCCTTCTCTCGCAGTAGAAGGCCAGAGTGCTCTGTTTACATCGTCTTATTCCACATTAAAAATAGATTGTCTAAAGGGACATAAAAAAACAACTCATTCCGGTAGTGTGAAGTGCCATTTGCATATGATAAAAAGACTGTATATATGACACTATATGTATACATTTGGTGTAATACTAGTATTAAAAGTTCTCTAGTTGTTTCATAAATTATTGAATTTAAATAGTCTTTAAAAGCTCATAATGGTGAACCCCTATATACAAAACAAATGTTTTACTATCATTATGTATGTGACTACTGTTACACAAGTTGTTCTACCACAAACAACCCATCTTGTGCTATAATTACAGACTGTGGATAGATCCCAGTTGCTCAAGGCAAATAAATTACTGAAACAGTTGAATGCAAAAGACAGAGCAACAAAGCAAGCATCAAACCTGGGGCCCGAGGCAACGTTTCTGCTCACCGCAGCAAAGTCACAGGACAGATGATAATGCCAGAAGAAATGAAGGGGAAAATTAGGTTAAATGCAAAGGACTGTGCCACTGAACCAGAACTAAGAGTGCTGTTAAACATCAATGAGTAGATACTGTTAAGCTATGTATGAAAATGGTCAAATAAATGACCAAATTTAGTAAACATAATAGAATTTGTTACGCAGTTAGTCACAAGCAAACCCTAATATCACAAAAAAGTGTTACATGCGCATCTTCGATA